TAAGAACCCAGAATCAAGAATCCAAGCATCCGTCAATTGTGTCGTTGAAATAGAAAGCATATCACCCTCACTGCAATCAGAAGTATCATCCTCGACCATGTTCACAGACTTGGATGAGCCATCACGCTTCTCATCAGTCTGCTTTTTCAACTTCGGACAGTCTCGCTTCATATGTCCCGCCTCCTTGCACTTGTAACAGTGAATCGTCTTCTTATCCCTGGATTTGGATCTGGAATTCCGCTTCCCGGACCCTGCCTTCTCTGGCTTCCGTCCACGATCTCGATTACCCTTGACATATAAGCTATCGGCTTGAGAGCTTTCCCCTGCATTCTGCTTCCGCTGGTTGTGAGCCAACAAGGCTGCAGTAATCTCCTCAACGTTGATAGTCTCTTTCCCATATGTAAGAGTAGTCACCATGTGTTCGTAAGAGGAAGGCAACGAACTCAACAGAATCATCGCTCTGTCTTCATCCTCAATTTTCACATCAAGCCGAGCCAGATCAGAAACGATTGATTGAAGACATTCACGTGTTGCGCCAAATCGTGATCGTCCTGCATCTTCAGCCCATACAGCCGCTGCTTCAGATACAGTTTTGTCGTTAAGGATTTGGACATAAACTGACTTTCCAACTTCCTCCAAATTTCGTCTGGAGACGATAGATGCATGACGTGATACATGACCTCGTCCGCCAAGCATAATCGTATGGTTCCTACCGCTCGCTGCTGCAATTCTTCCCAATCTTCCTCATCCATCGACGCCGGCTTTGTAGGTCGCAAAGCCTTCAAGATCCCTTGCTGCGCCAATAGATCCTTCACCCTCGTTTGCCATAATCCGAAGTTACCCTGACCATCGAATTTTGCGACTTCGAATTTTGCTCCTGACATCTGATACCAATTGTTGACGAAAACGGGTAAAGAAAACGAAAGAACACGAGAATTTTTATGAGGTTCGGCAATGTGCTTACGTCCTCGGTGCCTAGGCGGCGCTAGAATTTTATTCAATGATCTTTTAGGTCTAGGTTACATCTCTATTTATAATAGAAAACCCTGGTACATAATTACAAAATCAACCCTGTACCGTACCGCGGGGGCTACGCCCCCGCACCCCAACCCACATAATTTGTAACCCCACAACGAGACTTTCTTTGTAAGGACAATTGATGTTCGCTTCGCTCACTCCGCTCCATCTCCTGTCCTCTTTACTGGTATATTTATGAGCCATACCTAACAATCTCGTTACTATTTTATATTACATTTTCACTTACGAATTTTCAATAATATTTTATTAAATATAATTAAAATCAAGCCAAAGATATGCAATTTGCTGCTTTTGATGGAAAATGAATTAAATTTTTCGTATGGTCATCGTATTCAATCCAAATTAATATATATATATATATATATATATATATATATATGTATGTATGTAGCAAAGTTTTCACATGCATGGAAAAGGAAATATACCTACTCATAGTGACCAAACATTAGGCATGAATAAATGCGACACATAACCAACCAAATCTTATGGACGTCCTCTGCATATCTATCATCTAAACTAAATGCTTGGACAACAACAACGCGTCTCTTTCCAATCTCATAAATGAATGAAATTCATAATAGTTGTAGTAATAACAATAAAGCATATCATATCTAAACTAAATGCTTAAATCAAGTTTTGGTTGCATTACATCTACGTTAAGTGACATATCTAAAAATATTTTTGAAGTTACAAATATCTCTAATAATAACAAAACTTTTTGTATAAAATAAGTATAAATAATATTTTAAAATGGATATCGTCAATAAAATAAACAATTAATATAGAGAATTTAAAATTTCATAGTAGACACATATCCGCCTTAAACGACACTTGCCTCCGTCATTGTCTTTGTTTTGCACCCACAGAAACTAAAATCTGTTTGGCGAAAAATTGAGCTGAATTCAAAGAGAAAATGAAAGAATCTAACCCTCCGTGGTGGCTATAATGTCACGCCGTCTAGCTTCATTGTGCATGCATTCATGTGTAAGCTAACAGTAAAAACCAAAAGTTGTAAACCTCTTAGATTCAATGTCTCTGTCATAGAAAACCAGCTCGCCAACTGACAATTCAAGTTTCCTTTTCTGTCTGTTAAAATAATCATCACTAGTTACTTGAAACACCAGCCATTTGAGAATGTCAAGAACCCTAAATACGTTATGGACTGTTTTAAGAATAGTATTAAAAAAACATTACGTAGAACACTCTTTAACACAATTAAAAGTGATAAAATATTAAAAAAGACTTTATTTTCTTAGAATCTTAAATAAACATTTATATTTTTCCTAAAAATACAATTATAATTACAAATTATATATATGTATAATTACAATAAAACATAGGGTAAACTAATATTTAGTCAACCACCTATTATTGTGGTTTCACTTTGGTCACCTAACTATTTTTTCTTCAAAATTATATCCAACGTTACATTTTGGTCATCTGCTGTTAAAGAATTGACAGGGATTCTTACGTATCACCATAAGATAATGTCACATCATTATTGAAAAAATTTGTCAGGTCAACATGTCTATTTATTTTTTAATGACAATGAATCAAAAAGAAATAAAAACATAATGTTATGTATGATTTAAAAGTAACGATCGAATGACCAAAACGGAATCACAAAATTAAATGTGATTAAATTAGTAGTTTATCATAAAAAATATTAAAATACAATATATAAATAACGAATATATAACTTAATTTAGACTAAAAAGTCAAAGTAATAGAACTAAGAAATGGACACTAAAGATCTCAATCTCATCATTGTCAAAACAATCAAATCTCATTAATAGCCTTTGTATTTTTATTGTTCTTTTTTTTTGGTATCTTTGTTGTTCTTAAATGGACGATTATTGTTTTCTAAAAGAACTTACAATTTTAATCGATCACAATCAATAATGGTAGATGGATTATTGGACTATATTAATAAATATAGAGACAGCTTAAATATACATTTACCTCATTTCAACAGAATGATGAATGAAGGCGGTTAATGCATTGCTTTCTTGGCTTTTTGGTTAATGTGTCGTTTTGGACTCCCAAACCCCATTTTAACGACCAATTGTTAAGGAAACACCACTGATAAGTGACAGCTGAATACCATTGTTTTGTTTGCTTATCTCCATGTCCTAATGCAGGGATTTGGGTGTCTCGACAATGAGTAAATAGGAAGAAGAAAAAAAGGACATTAATAATTCAAGACTTCGTTGTTATGGACCCTGTTTCTGTTCAAAACATCATGGAAAAGTTTGTCTTCTTTTTTAATCAACTTAACTTTGACAGTTACAGTTAAACGAATCGGGCTTAAAAGTTGTTACAATTAAGCTTGATGCTTTAACTGTCACGACGGTCACTTAAAATAACACTTTCATTTAGATAAAAAAACATATAAAAGTTTAAGAAATTAAATTCACCAAGGATATATCTCAACCATTAAAACTTATATATATATTGAATATCAAACAATTTATATTTAAATATTAAAAAAATATTATTATATAATATTTATTCATGGTGATCTTATCCTGATCTTAAATCGTGCCATTTAAAAGGGGGAGTATTAACATTAAAATGCATTTTTCAGAGAAAAAGATTGTAAGGAACATTCATCACCGTCCCATATGTTATCTAAGACGCAAAATCTACAAAAATGGTTGAGGCTGTAAAGGATACCTAAATCCAATTACGAGTCAAAAATAATATCTGATATTTATTTGGTGGACTGAGATGTTCATTACGACTACTTTCAATGGGTCCATCCAATAATAAATTAACAACATTAATATGTTGAATTTGGAATTTTTATATCCACAAATTATTCTGTTTTATTACTATTGGTATTTTTTAACCGATTTAATCAAATTATTCGAATTAATTAAATTTTTAGGGATTAATATGAGTTTAATAGAGTGCTTTTTTATTTGGTTAAATTTTAATTAGTTATTGATAATTTAATGGTTCTAGTGTAGTTAAAAAAATAATGGAATTTTAATTTTTAATGGGTCTGAGTTTAAAATATGTATTTAATATATATAATATATAATATATTTAATATTTTTGATTTCGAACCGAATTAATTGTTAACCGAATATTGAAAAAAATTAATTGTTTCTCGATCAACCTAATTAAGTGGTTGATCGTTTTAAATGAATTAACTCGGTTTGGTAGGTTAGTTCGACTAAAACCGAAAAATAAGCACCCTTACTTTAGACACATAATATGTACCAGATCAATACCTTAGACATGTGAAATATGCCACGTTAATACTTTGGATACAATATAATACTACGTTAATATTTTTGTACGTGACATGTGTTACATCATTTTTTAAATACAAAATATGTGTCATGTCATTGATTATGTATGCATAACAATGTCACGTTAATATTTTGAAGAAAAAAACTTAACATATCAGCTACGAATATTCACAATTAATTAACTAATAATTTCATCTAACTAAAAATCATTTTAATTTAAAATAAAATATTAATAGTATAAAATAGTTAAAATAATAAAAATCAAAACATTAAATATTTTTATTAAACCGATGTAAATATAAGATAATATATATTTAAAATATTTAGAATTAATTTCCAGATTGTGAAAACAAGAAGAAAAAAAACTTCCCGACAATATTTCCTAATTATATAGTTTTTTGCGCACTACGATGCAAAGCTTTGGGGTTTAGCATTTGAGTGGCCATGCTCATTTAATGAATTCATTATTATTAAAATGTAAGAATATATATTTTAGAAGGTAGGACCATTTATTAGTAAATAAAGAAGCAAATCAATTGTTAAATAATTTCAAGTTTTCAACTTGTAAAAACTGAGATTGTTTCTATAAAAAGTCATCTCACCCTCCCTCTTCCTTCTGTCTCATTGTAGTCTGGTTGGACAGTTAAGCCTCTCTCTCTATCTTCCTTGAGAATCAACCTAACACTTCCGTCTGTATATATGCATATATAAGCAGTAATATGAGCCTGAACTTTGGTCTATACAAAGGACAGCAAAAACGCTGAAATGAAAATGCTACAATATGGTTTTGTTGGAGACAAAGAGACGGCTTCTTGTGGTGTTGGTGGTGGTGGTGGAGGAGGGACGGTGGTTGTTGGGGTAAAGTTTGATTCGCCAAGTAGAGAGCTTTTGACTTGGGCTTTGGTTAAGGTGGCTCAGCCTGGTGACTGTGTGATTGCTCTTCATGTTCTTGGTAACAATGGTCAGTGAAATGTTTTGGTGTTTCATTTTTTTTCCGAAAATATTTTTGGGCTTTGAATTTTCTACTCGTTTATTAAAAGTTGGAATTTTGTGTGTATGTAGAAATTGTGGATCGAGATGGAAAATCTTCACTTTTATCGCTTGTCAAAGCGTTCGACTCTATTCTTGCCGTTTATGAAGGCTTCTGCAATTTGAAACAGGTTTAATTTCATGATCTCCTTTTACTCTTTCTGTACTCCCCCCTCCTTTGTTTATAGCTAATTACTCCTTTTTTTCAATGATAAATTTGTTAATCTCATTCTCTGTCTGGTCAATCGGAAAATCAGAAATGGGAAAGCTGATCTTTCCCTGCATGCTCAGTTTAGCTGCATCTACATTGCAAAGAACAATTGATTGAACATTTCCCATATCAAATTTAAGTCATAAGAAAGATTTTGGTTTTGGGTAAATCATCTTGCAGGTGGATCTCAAACTTAAGATATGCAGAGGTACTTCAATTTCAAAAAATTTAGTGAGGGAAGCACAATCTTATTCTGCAACAAAGCTTATAGTTGGTACTGCAGCCAAAATCCATAAAATCCGTTCATCGACATCGGTAGCTAAGTACTGTGCTAAGAAAATAACCAAGAACTGTTCTGTTCTTGCTGTTAATAATGGCAAAGTTGTATTCCACAAAGAGGGCTCTCCAGGGACCACCTTTGGTTCTCAAGGTAAAGGTTTTGTTTTGCCTGTCAAATTCTTGGATTTCATATTAAGATTTTGGCGGACTTTAAGGAAAATCTTTGTCTTATTCTCTTTTATAGGAAATGAAGATCAGAAACGAAGTAGCTTGCTTAATGTGCTTCACCGAACAATAACATTGAAAAAGAATTCGAAAGTACTAAGTGAAGGGATTGCCAATGCCGTGACCAAAATGAATTCAGATGAATCCAAGGACAAGAGGTTCCACCAGGCCTTATTGAAAGCCGGTTCAGGTAATGTCGAGAGTGACAGAAAGCAAAATTGCCTCGTTTGTGAATCTGGAAATAAGTTTTTGCTGCGTAATTCTTGCTGCCTATCTGCAAATGAGTCAAGTTGTGGTGATGATGCTAATGATGGAGAGAAATCCTTGGCTATAGTGCCAGTGCAAAAGACTGAAGCTGCATCATGTTCGATTTCCATGTTGATCAATCAATTGCCTGAAATTAGACCCGGTTGGCCTTTGCTTCGCCGTGCGGTTTTATCAGATGGACAACAACAAGTTCCTGACCGGTCTTCCTTGAGGCAGATATCTGTGGTTCAGTGGTTGATGCGGTTGCCCTCTAGGCGTACTCTTTCAATAACCAATTCATATCAGAAACAAGAAGGGCGTGATCAAATTGAATTTAAGTCCTCTAATTTTGATGGCGAAAGCGGTGCAATTGTTCCAGTTGGTATAGAGAATGCCGTTGCTCCACTTTCTCCTGACGACAACTCAATAAAGCTGCCAAAAGAATTGGAGGGTCTTCATGAGAAATACTCTGCCACTTGCAGATTATTCAAGTACAAAGAACTTGTTTCAGCAACATCAAATTTCTTGGATGGTATGTTTTAAATTCATAATTCCTCTGCAACAATTTACTTTTACTCCTTCCTCTTGTAAAACTTCTTTATTTCCGGGTTTCTTTTGCAGATAATTTGATTGGGAAAGGAGGCAGTAGTCAGGTTTTTAAGGGTTGCCTTCGAGACGACAAGGAACTCGCGGTGAAAATCCTAAAGCCTTCTGAAGAAGTATTGAAGGAGTTTGTTCTAGAAATTGAGATTATTACTACATTGCATCATAAGAACATTATTTCCCTCTTGGGATTCTGCTACGAGGATAACAATCTTCTCTTGGTTTATGATTTCTTATCAAGAGGAAGCCTTGAAGAAAACCTTCATGGTACGTATTCAATATTGGAAAAAGAGAATTGGATATTATTATTATGTTATTTGATATCAGAAACTAATTTTTGAAGTTGCTTGTTTATAATTCAGGTAATAAGAAGGATCCTAATGCATTTGGTTGGAATGAAAGATACAAAGTTGCAACTGGGGTGGCAGAAGCCTTAGATTATCTACATACTAACAGTGACCACCCTGTGATCCACAGGGATATTAAATCTTCAAACATATTGCTTTCTGATGATTTTGAGCCTCAGGTATCTTTCAGTTATTGGTTTCCTAATATATATATTATTTTGGTTTTGAATTCGATAATAAAATGTCATTGTTCTTCTTCTTGCCTGGTTTATGCAGCTCTCAGATTTTGGACTTGCTAAATGGGCATCAACGACTTCTTCGTATATAACCTGCACTGATGTTGCAGGGACCTTTGGGTATGTAATTTTCACTTCAGGATGATACACCTGACAAGTTTCTAATTGAATTCATTTGTTTCAAAGGGTAATGTAATGTACAAACGTGAAAAGTTCCCCTAAGATTACTTACTGCAGCAGAGACTGTCTCACAATCCTTGCTTCATCCATTACCTAAACCAATTGTAAATAAATGTTTTTACCATTTGTTCCAGCTATTTGGCTCCTGAGTACTTCATGTATGGTAAAGTAAACGACAAAATCGATGTTTATGCATTTGGGATTGTGCTGCTTGAGCTGCTTTCTGGAAGAAAACCAATAAGCAGTGACTGTCCAAAAGGCCAAGAGAGTTTGGTCATGTGGGTAAGTCTTTTTTGCTCATGCCATTTGACTCGTATCATTTCTTTAATTTTGTATTGAAAATAAAAATTCAACCATGTTCAGGCGAAGCCAATACTAAGGGGTGGGAAGTTTTCCCAAATTTTAGACCCAAGCTTGGCTGGTGGGTATGACAGTGACCAGATGGAGAGGATGGTTCTTGCTGCCACACTTTGTATTAGGTGTACCCCTCGGGCTAGACCTCAAATGAGCATTGTAAGCCATCTTTGGTCTTTGAAGGGTGTGGTTGAATGATTCTAGCTGAACTTGTGCTGTGAAAATGGATGATTAATTTTGTTTTATGTGATTACAAAAGGTTGTGAAGCTGCTACAAGGTGATGCTGATGTGACCAAGTGGGCAAGACTACAAGTGAATGCCTCCGAAGGATATGATACATTGGATGATGAAGGTTGTCCTCAGTCAAACCTTCAATCTCATCTTAATCTAGCATTGCTCGATGTTGAGGAAGACTCCGTCTCCATGAGCAGCTTCGAGCAATCCATGTCTTTAGAGGAGTACCTCAAGGGTCGATGGAGCCTTTCATCAAGCTTCGATTAACTTCATTACTACTGCCACAGCTAAGTTGCACAATAAACTTTCTTCACAACTCCTTGTATATTCTTTTGGTCACTGCTTACAGACACAGTAGGTGTTGGATGAGAGGTTGTTTGTATGGTGTGCCCTCCTCCTTCCCTCTCACTATTAGTTGTCGGTGGGTAATTGAAGATTGGCTCATCATTTTCCTCACCTTGTGGTGGAAACTTTTATTTCTTTCACAAAAATATCCTCTATGCAATCAAAAGTTGTCAAGTTTGTTGTACAATAATAAATAATAATACTTGAGAAAAAAGAAAGTGATGATGTCCCACAGTGGCAACTACCCCTTTGGAAGGGCACTTCATTTCACACACTATCACCACCGACACTCCATTAACGTCAGCTCTCTTGTCCTTTCTTCACCCCCGTGATTTTCTTAAGTTATTATTTTCATAAAAAAAAGGAAATAATTTCATATAAACAAGCAAATTTCAGAGATCTAAATTGTTTCCAGTTTACAGATAAGAGCAATGAATATCAATGATTCTGATGCTTGATCATGTTATAAATATGTGATAACTCGATAAGTTATAAAAACGAACATACTTCATAGAATATTGGCTAATAAGGATGTCGGACCTCGAAAACTATTCATCATAAGGTCATTTTATGCCTCGAACGTTATATAAGAACATAGACCCTACCTATCAGGACTATACCATTGTCATAGTTGTATCTGCTATATTTTTCTTACACCCTTGGGTGTTATATTATTCGCTGGCATACTTATCTAGTGCTCACATCGTTTACAGAATTCTAGAAGGTCACCTAAAAGGATTTATCGTGGGCTTAATAAGAAATGGGCTAATGGATCCTCCAAAAGTTGTGTAAATATATTGATTGTTCTTATTAGGCTCTTATATGGTGATATAATATGCTTATATAAGGATTTTTGACTTTTAAGCTTTGATTCGTGATATTTATGTTTATGATTATAATATTATACTTGCTTTATTAGCCTCACTGAGCTCGAAGAACATCATGTCTCGTGTCTATTGGGGGAAGATTTCTATTTTGCTTTTGTACTTTATAATTGGACATTGGACTGTTTTTTAGGATGGATATTTATGTTTGATTATTAGAGTATTACCAAATGATTCACCAATTACTAAATAACAATTTAAGAGAACCTAATTGATAAAATTGAAAGCTAATGAGACTAAATAACAATTACTGATAAGTTTTAAATAAAAAAAATCGATTAGAATGATTTTTGAATTCTAGATCATTACATATTGAGAAAGTGTGAATATGATTCTTTGCTTTTAACATTTTTAAAGGAAAAAATGGGATTATTTGCTTGTGTGTGGGGGATTTGATTCATCGACCACCAAATGATGATTAGGAGGCCTGCACTAATCATGTTAATTGTGTTCAGAGTTGTTGGGACTCTATTTTCCTTCTAAATTCATCTAAAGCACCAAACGATTTTAAGAGTTAAGAGGTAATTATTATTTTTAGAGGTTACAAATTCAAATAAAACGTCATTAATTTTTCAAGACTTTTAGGAGAATATATTATCTATAATTGTTGAAATCATTTAATGAATTTATTTTTTTAAATTTAAAGTTAATAATTAAATTAAATAACCTCAAACAATACGTCATCGATTATACATCAAATTGTGTATAATTATTGAGGGCAGTAGTTATAAAAAATAATTTCCCAAAGAAAAGGCTTTACAAAATGGAGGCGGCAATGCAAAGTTGGTGCTTTCGTGTTTGGATTCCAACATGAAAAATCAGCCTGGTCAATGGAATCCTACGACACTTTCGAAAAGATATGTCAAACGGGGCAGCATGTCTTATTACCACATAATTAGTTACTTCAAATTTTAAATTACGTGAATTTTGGGATAAAATAAAAATTACAAATAGATCTTGATATTATTTTTTTTTGGTAAATATAATTTTAATTTGATTTAATTATACATGAGATATCTTGATTTTGATTTAATTATATATATATATATATAAACAAAGAAAGAAATTCAATATTTTTAATTATGATCTAACAAATATTATTATATTTAATTATGATAAATATCAACCACAAATAAAATTAAAAACCAAATTGTTAATGTTTTTTTCTGTGTTTCTTTTAAAACAAAACTTTGTTGCTAATATAACTAATAATAAGAATTATTTTCCCCTCTTGTCCTCTTCAGTTCTTTTTTTTATTCACGATTGTGGATAGAAATAAATCCTAACGCAACTTTAAATACACGGTCAAGAACCGACTTCAATTTTATTTTTAATAAATTATATATTTAGTCATTCAACTTTTATTATATTCTGTTTAATTCATCTAATTTCAAATTTTTTATTTGACCATCTAACTTTTAAATTTTGTTTTCTTTTCGTCACCTCACCGTTAGGTGTTTACAGTTTCTGAGTAAATTTATGTAAAAATATCTCTGGATTTTAACTCATTAAGTGACCTCAATGATTAAATGGGGTGTTGTTTTCTCTAGAGATCATGAGTTCAAGCAGTTACATTTATATGCTATGTATTGTGCGTTTTGTCTATAGTTAAGAAAGATTCTGAACAAATACTATCTTATTATTAGATAATGAAATTGATAGATTGGATCAAGGTAACATTGAAGCTTCTATTTGACTTTATCGAGTTTGAGGAAAATCAAATCGAGAATTAAAAAAATGAGATAAGGAAAATATTATAATACTAATTATATCACAAAAGATAATTGACAGAAGTCGAATGACAATAGAGGAGAATGTTTGTTATAGGGAAGAAGAAGAAGATGAAATATTCAGTTAATTTCATAAATAAATATTATAGACATATAGTATTTTACTAAGGTCGTTACACGACTAATGAATGAGTGATAAAAAATTCCAAAAGTTAAATGGTAAAACAAAAATAAATAAAATTGGATAACCGAAATAAAAAATAAGTTACTAAATATGTAGTTTATACTTTATATATTATTAAAAAAAAATGAATTTCCACAATGCTTATCCTCGATGAGCATGAATGCATGATCATTTTTAATATTTGTAAATTCTTTCTTTCTGTAATTAAGATTCTTTTATAATAGCAAAATAAAAATACAAGTAATGGTATTGAAAAATAGAATCCGTATCCCATGCTTCAACACACCTACGTCAAAACATGGTTAACACAATTTATCACCAAATTAATAATATTGATATATTTATGATTAAGTTAATTATTTAAATTAAACCCTTTATAGCATAAGCCAAAAAAGGGACTATAAATGAAATAGAAGGGCAATAAGATACCAAAGCAATAGGATTAAACGTTTTCATTTCATAAAATTAAAGCCTCACAATACAATCAAAAGATATATAAGCCACAAATTATTTAGACGCAGAGTAGAAGAACAACTCTGCTTGAAAATGATCAACGATGGAGATCAAGGAACATTTTTTTTATGTTCCTCGAATGGAAAAGGAGCTTTTTGAAGCTGGAATAGTAACAATTTTGGCATCTCCATCACTGCTGTCATCAACATTGATTGATGTACTATTGTTTGTGATTGGCAATTCCTTGATTTTCTCGTCAGTTTCTGGGCCTTTCCCGTCTTTGCTTTTACCCCACACCACTGTGTAAAGTCCTGAGACTATGATAATGGCTCCAAGAACGCTAAAATCAAAACAAAAGATGCAATCAGAGTCCACTAAATGAATGAGACTTGTAAATTTTGTGTTTTTTTTCTGGTGTCAATATACCTTCCAAGATGGACTTTTTCTGCTAAAACTATGGTTCCTAGTGCAGCAGTGATGATCATGCATAGAGGGCTGAATGATGTAAGGAATACCGGCCCTCGTTCTCGGATCACGACTCCTTGCACGTAGTACGCTATTCCAGAGCACACTATTCCCTAATTCATCACCAAAATTGAGTATTGCAAAGTGCATCAATGGCTGGTCAAAAAAACTTGTAAAGCAAGAAACAAAAGTACATCATTGGGGCACTTACAGAGTAAGCTGCAGCAAGGAGCCTTGAATCCCACCCAACTTTCCAAGCACTCAGGTTCCGGTCCATAATAAGGGCAACTATACCATCTTCTATCATTCCCACGAAACATATCCAAGCAGTGAGCGAGAGCTCGGCGGGGTACTTTTTCAACGTGAAGGACTGCACCAGGAACCATATACCATACAATTAGCACCAGAACATGTTTAAAACCAAATTTGAAATTTTTTTGCACTCACTTGCAAAATGAAGTAACTTGCCCAGCTTAAGATACTTGCTAGAAGCATTATGGTACCGGTAACCCAGTGTTTATCAGCGGATTCAGTGGTGGATCCATGGTGTTCCGCGCCTCCTGATTTGATGAAATCAACAATTGGACCTTTGTACAAAGTCATCACCATTGCCCCTACCACAGTGATTGCTGTTCCAATGATCTTTGCTACACTGCGTATCTTCTTCAAATTAATCTTCTCTAACCTGATTGCCATTATCAACATATTAAACAATGATTCAACATATGTATCAGAAAATGATTGAAGAATGATTTTTCACCTGAAAATCATTGCCAAGATGAAGGTAACAGAAGGAAGCATGTTGACGAAAGCCGATGAATATGTTGCAGTTGTGGCCTTCATCCCTAGATAGTATAGGTTCTGGTCAAGCACTGGCCTGCGAAATCCAAATCAACCACTTTAATTGAAAGTTTTCCATTTCAAGAACAAGCATCCATTCACGACGTAAAGATTCAAAAAGGGTTAAGATATAAGAGCATTACTCGAGGATACCAAGAACCACGATCCTGAGGAAGATGGGAAGGGTCATTCTTGGCCTGATTTTCCTGCATAAAAAAATGGAAAGAAATGATAACCTGAGGATGGATGACGAATCCATGAAATAACATGGCCTATTGGAGAAGAAGAGGAAACCTTTCAAGAAAAAAGGCAAAGGGAGCAATGACAATGGTGGCCACAAGGTGACGGTAGGTAGTAAGGACGAAATTACTCATGCCGTGCTTAAAAGAAACCAACGAGATGATGTACATCCCTGCATATCCAAACTGCAGGGACACAATTGCAATGTATGGTTTCACTTGGTTTATCATTTTAGACAACATTAAACGTTCCCTCTCCTCTCCCATTGTTTCTCTCTTTCCTTTCTTCCTCTTCCTCTTCCTCTTCCTCTTCCTCTTCCTCTTCCTCTTCCTCTTCCTCTTCCTCTTCCTCTTCCTCTTCCTCTTCCTCTTCCTCTTCCTCTTCCTCTTCCTCTCTCGGCTCTTAGGCTGCCAACTTCCAAACGACAACTTCCCTTCTTATAGTGGATTTTCCCAGTGGAAATTAAAAGGCGAAGTGCATTATTTTGTAATAAATGTAAGTGCTGTCATTGGTTATATACCAAAATGTGTTGAATTATTAAGGGTGGTAGACAAAAAAAATAATAATTTCCTAAATAAAAGGCTTTAAATACCCAAATATATAGTAATCTTTTTTAATGACTAGTAGGGGGAAAAAAGATAAATTGGGGGAGACAATGCAAAGTTGGTGCTTTCGTGTTTGGATTCCAACATGGAAAATTAGCCTATTCGATGGAATCCCACGAAACATTCGAAAAGACATGTCAAACTAGAGCATATCTTTTATAATTATTACAACATAATTACTTGCTCAAAATTTTAAATTATATAGATTTCGTAAAATTAGGGATAAAATAAAATGATCGCTCACTCCGCTCCATCCCCTGTCCTCTTTACCGGTATATTTATGAGTCATTCCTAACAAATCTCCACCTTGGCTAATATCTTGCCCCTTAGGAAACATGCAATGTGGGTTGGGTTACCTTACTTCTTTAACAACTCGAAATATTCAACAAGTCCAAGCAATGCTTGAACTTGTCTGTCGTAACTGACTTGGTGAACATATCAGCGACATTCTCATCAGTATGTACCTTCTGAAACAAAATCTCTTCAAATGCAACCAACCCTCTGATCTTGTGAAACCTTACATCAATATGCTTAGTTCTAGCACGATATACTTGATTCTTAGCCAAGTGAATAGTGTTTTGATTATCGCAAAACAGCTGAACTCCACCTTGTTGAACACCCAATTCCTTCACTAAACCAGTAAGCCATAAAGCTTTTTTTGCAGCTTCAGGCGTTGCCATATGTTCAGCTTCAGGCACTGCCATGTGTTCAGCTTCAGTTGTAGATAGTGCCACCACAGATTGAACAGTAGACTTCCAACAAATAGGCCCTACACCAAGAGTAAAGACATACCCTGTCGTAGATCTTCTATTATCCAAGTCACCTGCATAGTCTGAATCCACATATCCTACAACCAAAGGATTATCCCGCTGACTACCAAAAACAATTCCATGTTCCACAGTACCCTTTAAGTACCGAAAGATCCACTTGACTGCTTCCCAATGTTGCTTACCAGGGTTAGACATGTACTTACAAACTTGACTAACAACATGAGCAAAATGAGGATGAGTACATAACATTGCATACATCAAGCAGCCAACAACATTAGAATACGAAACCTTTGCCATATCTTCAGCTTCCTTATCTGTCTTAGGGCACTGTTCTGATGAGAGCTTAAAGTGATTCACCAATAGAGTGCTAACCGGTTTTGCGCTGCTTATCGCAAACCTTTCTAGCATTTTCTCAACATAACCATGTTGAGATAGCCACAGTTTCCTTGAGTCTCTGTCCCTTCAAATTTCCATTCCAAGAATTTTCTTTGCAGCACCTAAATCTTTCATATCAAATTCCTGACTCAATAAAGTTTTTAAACCGATAACATCATCCATGTTCTTCGCAACAATTAGCATATCATCAACATACAGTAACAGAAAAATAAAAGAACCATCATCAAGGCTCTTAACATAGACACAATAATCATACTCACATCGCTTGTAGCTAATCTTGATCATATAGGAGTCAAACCGTTTGTACCATTGTCTCGGAGACTACTTCAACCCATACAAAGATTTCTTCAATCTGCAAACTAAATGTTCGTTTCCAGGTTGAGTGAAACCTTCAGGCTGCAGCATGTAGATCTACTCCTCTAAATCACCACGCAAAAAAGCAGTTTTCACATCCATATGCTCTAAATACAAATCCCAACTAGCCACCAATGCAAGTACTGCTCGGATTGAAGTGTATCTGACCACAGGGGAAAAAATTTCATCATAATCAACTCCTTTCTGCTGTGAAAAACCCTTTGCTACCAAACGAGCCTTGAACTTCTCCCTCTCTTTTTCTGTTACTGTTGGTTTCTTCTTATACACCCATTTGCAACTAATCGGCTTCTTACCCTCAGAAAGGCGAACTAACTCTCATGTACGATTGTGATTCAAAGACTCCATCCCCTCAACCATGGCAGCCATCCACTTGTCGTTTTCCTGACTAGCAACTGCATCATGAAAAGTAATCGGATCATGACTGCTAACAGTAAGTGCAAAAGAGACCAAGTCTTCAAAACTCAATTTGTTTGGAGGCTTTATATTCGTCCGTCTCACCCTGTCTCTGGCAAGACTATAATCCTGCAAATCATCCGTGGCGGAACCACCAGAAGTCGGTTGAGAAGTTTATGTTTTCTCAGCTGGAAACTGCTCAAAATCCACCATTGTCGTGTCTTTCTTCTACTGCAACATGGGTTGTTCATCAAAAACATCTCTACTGATAACAATTTTCTTCGCAACTGGATCCCAAAACTTGAATCCTTTGACACTTTTCTTGTAATCCAGAAAAATGCACTCATTCGATTTTGCATCAAGTTTGGATCTCTCATCAGCAGATACATGCACATAAGCAGGACAACTAAAAATCCGTAAGTGATCAAAAGTAACATCATGACCAGTCCATACCTCTTCTGCAACTTTCCCAGCCAATGATGCCCTTGGCGATCTATTGATAAGATAACACGTCATGTTAACAACCTCAGCCCAGGGAAGCCCCGCATTCAACCGCAAACATCTGGCTCTTTCATTCAACAACATGTTCATCCGTTCCGCAACATCATTCTGTTGTGGTATCTTGCGCACTGTAAAATGCCTCTTAATCCCATGATCCATACAGAAGTGTAGAAACTATGAATATGTGTACTCCGTACCATTGTCAGACCACAAACACTTGATTTTTCGTCCTGTTTGGTTTTCTACCTCAGTTTTTCACAGCTTGAACTTCTCAAAAACATCAGACTTCTGTTTCAAAAAATACACCCAAACTTTCTGTGAAAAATCGTCAATAAAGGTAGCATAATACCTAGATCCACCCAAAGATGATATCGTGAAAGACCCCTATACATTAGAATGCACATAATCAAGAATCCCTTCAGTTGTGTGCTTCACAGTCTTGAAATGAACTTTAGTCTGTTTACCAATAACACAATACTTGCAAAAGTCGAGCTTACACCTTTTAACACCATGCAACAAAATTTTTTTTATGCAATTCAGCCATCCCTAACAATCTTAAAATATACCATGCAGTCATTTTTCCTTTCATCACAATCAAAGCTCATTTAACAATCTGAATGGTTTCCCTATCCTCATCAGCCTTAGGGATAAAACCATTCTTGTGCAAAGTACCCAAAGAAATCAAATTCTTCTTCAAATCTGGGATATGTCGAACACCACTCAACGTCCGAACAGAGCCATCATACATCTTAATTCTGACATCACCAATACCAACAATAGTGCAACATCGATCATCACCCAAATAGAAAGAACCATGATTAACCGACCTGTATGTCGAAAACCATTCCCTATTTGGCGTGATGTGATAAGAACATCCAGAATCAATAATCCAAATATCCGTCAATTGAGTCGTTGAAATAGAGAGCATATCACCCTCACTGCAATCAGAATTATCATCCTCGACCACATTCACAGACTTAGATGAGTCATCACGCTTCTCATCAGTCTGCTTTCTCAACTTCGGACAATCTCACTTTATATGTCATGCCTCCTTGCACTTGTAATAATGAATTGTCTTATTATCCCTAGATTTGGATCTGAAATTTCGCTTCCCAAACCCTGGCTTCCGTCCATGGTCTCGATTACCCTTGACATATAAGCTATCAGCTTGAGAGCTTTCTCATGCATTCTGCTTCCGCTGGTTGTGAGTCAACAAGGCTGCAGTAATCTCCTCAACTTTGATAGTCTCTTTCCCATATGTAAGAGTAGTCACCATGTGTTCGTAAGAGGGAGGCAACGAACACAACAAAATCATCATTTTTTCTTCATCCTCAATTTTTACATCAAGTCGAGCCAAATCAGAAACGATTTGATTGAAGACATTCACGTGTTGCGCCAAATCATTATCGTCCTGCATCTTCAGCCCATACAGCCGCCGCTTTAGATTCAATTTAGTCGTTAAGGATTTGGACATAAACTGACTTTCCAACTTCCTTCAAATTTTATCTGGAGATGACAGATGCATGACGTGATACATGACCTTGTGCACCAAGCATAATCATATGGTTCCTGCCGCTCGCTGTTGCAATTCTTCCCAATCTTTCTCATCCATCGACGCCGTCTTTGTAGGTCGCAAAGCCTTCAGGATCCCTTGCTGTGCGAACATATCCTTCACCCTTGTTTGCCATAATTCGAAGTTACCATAACCATCTAATTTCGTAACTTCAAATTTTTCTCCTGACATCTGATACCAATTGTTGAAGAATCGGGTAAAGAAAAATGAAAGAACACAAGAATTTTAACGAGGTTCAGCAATGTGCTTACGTCCTCGGTGCCTAGGCGGCGCTAGAAGTTTTATTCAACGTCTCATAGGTTTAGGTTATATCTCTATTTATAATAAATAAACATTGGTACATATTTACAAATATAACCCTGTACCGTACCGCGAGGCTGCGCCCCCGCACCCCCAACCCACATAATCGTAACCCCCACTACGAGACTTTCTTTGTAAGGACAGTTGATGTTCGCTTCGGTCACTCCGCTCCATCCACTGTCCTCTTTACCAGTATATTTATGAGTCATACCTAACAATTATTATAACATAATTACTTGCTCAAAATTTTAAATTATATAGATTTCGTAAAATTAAGGATAAAATGATACATAGATCTCTATGCAATATCTTTAAGCCATTTTTTATATTCAAATGTAAGATAACATGAACTCATTAAGTGGTCTCATTGGTAAAAGATAGTGTTGTTTTCTTAAAAGTCTCGGATT